ATATTTATATTTATATTTATATATATGTGTGTGTGTGAGTGTGTGTGTGTGTGTGTGTGTTATAAACGACAGAACGCTATATTTAACGTATAAATCCATACCTGTACTTTTTAATGCGTTTGCGTTTTTTGATTATCTTGTATGCTAACACCCCCGTTCCCACCACGGCGCCTGCAACTAGCAGGTTTTTCATCATTCCTCGATCTTGTGTACCATCACTAGTAGTAGGGGTGGCTCCTGGCCCTGGCTGACTGTATGGATCCATGGCTGTTGTGGTCGGATAGTTAAAACTCGTGACGTATTGCCTAGAAAGGATAACACTGTATTATATATATACAACCTGGAAGTGACTGAATTTCATGATATATTAGTTATTTATTCGAGTTTTCGTATTGTTGCAGTTCCTTTTTTTCAGTTGAACTTCAAAAATAACCTTTGGCTTTCTCTTCCTCTCTCTCTATACAGCAGTCTACACTCGCTGTACTACTACATTACAAATAGTAAATATTTGTCTCTCTGAGAGAGATAGTTGCCTTGGATGTACACGGACGCCTGACGGCCTGACGCGAGTATACTCTGTATTCCCGTGTTAGCCGGAAAATAAGTTTCTATTGGAGGATAATATCGCAGTCGCCACTTTTTTTTTGTTTGTTTTTCTCTATTTGTTTTACAAAAACGAATACAAAACAAACATATTATTCAGAGGAAGCCGAAGAAGTAAATACATAGATGATAGTTGGCTATGCGGCAATATGAGTACGACTACATATGAGACTTGAGCGACCCCAGCCTATGCCCTATGGACTATGTACGAGTCTATGAGACTGAATAAAGAATGTAAATAAATACTACAGTAATACATACAGAAGTACAGAGTACACTGCATACATGAAAAAGAAGTTTCAGATTGTCAAACAATCAGCCTACCAGCTTCAAATACGTTTTGCGTTAGAACATATAAAGGTCTCGAGTACTGTATGTCCGCTTAACACCTCCTTGAATGAAAATAATACAAAAATCAACAACAAAATGCGTTAAACGTATACGCAAATATTTTAACGGATGGGGGTTTACCAGTGTTTAGACTGTCAGAGCCTCAGAGGACAGAGCCTCGGGCTGTCAGAGTTCAGACTTCAGAGTTCAGACCGTTAGAGCCCATGTCACTCTCGCAGTCGCTCTTCTTTGTGTCACTGTGTGTTTACTGTTTACAGTGTTTGACTGTTTTCGCTGTGGTCCGTTTATGGCTTGGCCCTTGAAAGTTGAAACCTTAAAACCTCCTAACGGCCTAAACCAATCCAAATGACGTACAGGTTGACTCAAACCTTGTGCTCAAACCCCCCTGCAAACTTCTCAGCCAATACATTCGACGTTCTTTGAAAGGAGGCAGTGTCATTGGAAAGCCAACATTGAAGAGAGAAAGTGAAAATGCCCGCGGCCAGTGTGAGTGGTGGGGTATCATAGGTATGAAACTCAAACACACCCACAGG